AATTTAATTTGCCGAAGCAATCAAACTTGATTTGTGATCATTTCTTCATCGTGTACTTAATTTTATTTACACGGAAGGGCTAACCCCTCCATCATACCCATCTGGAATCTCTTGCACATCACAGATCTCAGGCCAGTACGGCAGTTTCAGGACACTCAATGTTCCTCTACTCCTGAGTTGTCTCAATGGTTTCTCCTGTGGACTTAAGGCAGCCTTTCAAATATTTAAAGTTTCTTTTAAAAATTCAATCCTTTTTTAATTAACACTGATTAATAAAATTTTTATTCTTTTTTTACTAACATTAGAATTTTTATTAACACGATCACGAGCACGATCATCCTGTTGTTCATCGATTGCCTCGAGCAGGCACCAGTAATGTCTCCTTCATTCTAGCCCTGAGATTTTAAAAAGTGCCATATTCAAGGCTCTTTCAGGGTTAGGAGAATGAGACCCATCATTGTTACTGGTATTTGGCATATTGGGTATGCCACGGGGAGTTTGCCAGACTCTGCTGTGTGGGCAGGTTACATTCGGTAGCCTGCCAGGTTGTCCAAAGTAAGAATGAGATTTAAAAAAAAAAAAAGATGTCGTGCGGCCGCAAATGCGGCCACATGCTTCCGGGGAGCTGGGTTTTATAGTCTCTGGGTCTTGGCTGCTGATGGGATTACACGGCACTGGGGGGTTTCATTGAGTAGGGCTGGTATTTTTAGTCTCTTCTTTTTGTTTTTTTTTGGCCACACTTGGTGATGCTCAGGGGTTACTCCTGACACTGCACTCAGGAATTATTTCTGGTGGTGCTCAGGGGACCCTATGGGATGCCAGGGATTGAACAAAGCAAGTGTTCGACCCACTGCACTATCTCTTTGGCCCTTCTTTTCAGTGAGGAAGAGGACGGGTGTTTCTCCCTATTCTTCAATAGTGGCCACACTCCTCTTCCTGAGCTTATTAGGTACTTTAAACTGACCTGTCACTGTGATCTTCACCTTTCCCCTCCCATTCTAGTTACTAACTCATCACAGCTGACGCTTTAATAAGGAAACTTATTTTACCATTTTTATTTTTGAGCCCAGAACCCATGTCCAGTTTTCTGAACAGTTTTCCAAATATCTCGGGTTTCTTTTCTCTTTTTGCAGCGGGAGTCACAGTTAAGCAGAGCTAAGAATCCGGGGGATCTGGGGGAGGGGGCCACTCCCAGCAATTAGTTGGCCTCTCCATGAAGGCTTGACGCCTCCTTGCTCTGGTTAGGAGTGATGTGGTCCTCTCATCTCAGGTCCAGCGGTGCTCGGGGTCACCAGAGTCAACCTGGCAATACTTGGAGGCCACTGGGGCTTATCTATACCAGGTGGTGCTTGGGGAGCCATGGAGTACCGGGCATCAAACCTGGGGGCTCATGCCTGGAAGGTATGTGCTCCTGCCCTTTGGGTTATCTCCCTGGTCTGGGCTTGGGTTTCTTAAAAATAGTGAGGACTTATTTTTCTGTTTTGGGGTTGGAGTAGGGTGGGTGTTTGGGTCACACTGGTAGTACTCAGGGCTTATTCTTGGCTCTGTGCTCAGTATGGTTCTTAGGGAACCAATGTGGTTCTGGGGATCAAGCTGGGACTGGCCACATGTAACACAAGTGCCTTAACCCCAGTACATCTCTCGGACTCCCTGATTTTTCCTTTTCAGAGTCTACGGTTTTTTTGTTGTTGCTGTTGTTGTTTTGGGGCCACACCAAGGTGTGCTCAGGGCTTACTCCTGGGCTCGGAGCTCAGGGATAACACCTGGCAGTACACAGGGGACCATATGAGATGCTGAGGATTGAACCTGGGTGGGCCACATGCAAGGCGAGTGCCCTACACGCTAGCTATACTATCACTCCAATCCTAGGATTACAGCATTTAATTCTATTGTCTGTCTTCTTATATTACATCATGTGCAAAACTCACAGCAGCCAGTGGGTTAATGATACACCTTTAAAAATTTTTTGGGAAAGGGGCTGTGAAGCCATAGCTCAGAGGGTAAGGCACGCGGCTGACCCGGGTTTGATTCCCAGCATCCCATATGGGCCCCGGAGCACTGCCAGGAGTAATTCCTGAGTGCATGAGTCAGGAGTCAACCCTGTGCATCACGGGTGCGACCCAAAAAGCAAAAAAAAAAAAAAAAAAAAAAAAAAAAAAAAAATGGAGGGGGGAGGGAGAAACACCGTGGGAAAAAAAAAAATTTATGGCCAGAAGCTTGGGGGATGCTGAGTGACTAAAGTCCTTGCTTTGCAGGGGCCAGAGAGAAAGTACAGTATGGAGGGTGCTGGCCTTGCACATGGCCAACCTGAGTTAGATCACCAGTATCCCAGGAAGAATCCCTGAGTGCAGAGCCAGGAGTAACCCCTGAGCATCAATCACCAGGAGTGCCACCTCCTGCCCACCTCCCCCCCCGGTGAATAAAGTGCTTGCCCTACTGCCGTACATCTATGCATGTTCGATCCCCAGTGCTGCCTCCATGTGCCGTCACTCTTGGCAGCTCCACTGTCTGGGGCTCCTGGCTCTGCAGGTGTTCAAGCAAGGGCACGGCCCGGTGTACGAGCCTGGCAACTGAAGTGTGCAATCCTGGCAAGTACTGCAGCTGAAGATTTGAGAACACTGCATCATTGCATCCAGATGTGCAGGTCCCAGAACCAGCCATCACAAAAAAAAAAGGAAAGGGGGGAAAAATATCTTCATGGCCACAATTAGGGAAAGACTGCTTCAACCACCAAAAAAAAAAAACCCTGAAAAACCATCCAGAAATCAGGCCTAAAGTAGAATTACAATCAACTTCAATACTGAGCTAAAGTAGAAAGACAAAGGCGTACGTGATCAAAGGATTCATTAGGCAGAATTTATAAAGAGCCTTTCCAAATCACTAAGAAGAAGACGAGCAACCCTCTGAAAAGAAAAGAAAAAAAAAAAAGCAGGCAGAATGTTCACAGAAGACATGGCTGACATGGCTGTCAGGGAAATAGAAATTAAGGTGAAAGTGAGATGAGATTTCCTTTCACTAGACCGGCAAGTGTTAAAGGTCTGATTATGCTAAGTGTCTCGAGCACAGAGAACAACAGCGATCGGCTGTGGGTGGAATCATACGTCAGAATCATTACCTTGGAGAGCAGATTGACAGTACCAGGGGGGCAGAAGTAAGCTTATCCAAACGATCAGGCATGATCATGCCTGCACACAAGCAAGCATATAGATAAGGTACACCGTGTATGTGTATATGTACACACGCACACACTCACACACACACATGCATATGCGTAAGACTGAAATTTCAGAGTGCAGAAGAAAATTGTCTTGGTTTCTTGAAAACAGCCTGGGTTATAAATGAAATTCCATACAAACAGAAAACACATATTAACAACAGAAATGAAAAAAATAGAAATTATATATCCAGGTATTATAAGTTAAATACAATTACGTTCAAAGTAAGTGAAATTCAACATTCATCAGCAGGAGAACGGATGGACCGTCTCACTTATCCACTGAGATACCCCTCGATAGTTACAGTCAGTGAACAAACGACACGTGCGGATCTGTCCAGAGACATTTCATGGTGACCTTGAGCCCAACATAAATGGTAGAATATTCATTCTATGCTGTCATGTGGGTAAGTTTTTGAAATATACATGAAAAGCAACTGTTGTTTAAAGGTGCATATTTTAAGTGGACAGCCTGTCAATATGGAGGGACAGATTCGGAATAATGGATGTATCTGGGATGAAGGATGGGGAATAGATTAAAGGGCTGGAGAAGGGGCCTATTTAACTTGTGGGGCTGGAGAGACAGTACAGCAGGTGGGAAACTTGCTTTGCTATAGGTCTATGCGTGTTTGATCCCCAGCACCACATAGAGCCTCCTGAGCTCTGCCAGGAGGGATCCCAGAGTGAAGACCCAGGAGCAAGTCCTGAGCCCTGCCAGGTGTGGCCCAAACACCCTCCTATCCACCCCCTCTTTCCCGCCCCCCAAAATTTAACCATAGAGCCAGAGAGGTACACTGGGTTAGCACTGGGCTGACATGGCCGGGCCCCCCTCAAGAAGCAGGCCTCCCTCCACACTGCCAGAGGTGACCCAAACCTACCTCCTCAGCCAGAAAATACAAGGACATAGAAAAATATGCTCCATATCTAGTGAATATTTTTCTGCATTCTTTGATATGTTTGAAACATTCCTGAACGCAAAAGATGATGGAAGACAAAAGGCAATTTCACGATCCTGATTTTAACTTAAACAAACAAAAAGAAGGAAATGGGGATATAATGTGTTTAAATTTTCACAAACACCCCTGGAATTCCTTCTAGATTATTGTTATTTTTTTCAGTTTAGGAAAGCATAAGAGTCTGTCATAAGGTCTAAGCCCAGATTGGAGAATTAATACAGCTACTATCTAACAGGAAGGCAGTACAAAAGGAAGAGAGCAGGATATTCATACGAATCCTTGTCTTTACAGCAGAGTGATTTCTGCTATTTCGTGTTTTATCAATTTTGCCAGGACTTAGATGGATGATGGGAGACAGGCGAGGAGACGTTCCTAAGGCAAGACTCCTCGAATGGAAAAAGTTCAGCTATGCTGCTGGGAAAATATTTTAATCCCACTCCACTGGGGAGTGTTTACCAGGAAGAAAGCTTCATCAGAAAGATCATTTTATTTATTAATTGATTGGCTTTTTTTTTTGGGGGGGGAAGGGTCACACCTGGAGATGCTCAGGGGTTATTCCGGACTCTGTGCTCAGGAATTACTGCTGGCAGTGTTCGGGTGAGTATATGGGATATCTGGGATTGAACCTGGGTTGGCCGCATGCAAGGAAAACACCCTCCCTGCTGTACTATCGCTCCAGTCCCAGAAAGGTCTTTTTAGCAAAGTTTCCAGAAAAACCATTGTCTCACTTCTTTGCTGAGGTCAGACCTCTTTCTGCTCCATATGACTTAAAAGACAACCCCCCAATGAGGAAAGCCCCCCTGAAGTGAATAGCAAAAGCCCTTACTTACCTTCCGGTCAAGTTCTTTAGTCACGGCGTCCAGCACCACCTTATGGTGGGCGAACACGAGGAATTTCTCTCTCCCGCTTTCCAGGAGGTCCAGGATGTATTCACTGTATTGGAAAATGACAATACAAGAAACTTAGTCTCTGGAGTGATAGCACAGCAGGTAAGGCATTTGCCTTGCACGGGCCAACCCAGGTTCGATTCCCAACATCCCATATGGTCTCCTGAGCACCGCCAGGAGTAATTCCTGGTTGCATGAGCCAGGTATAACCCCTGTGCATTGCCGGGTGTGACACAAAAGCAAAAAAAAAAAAAAAAAACCAAGAAACTAGAGTGGCTGTTTCCTGGAGACTGTCGGCAACAAAAGCAGGCAGGGTCAGGGTTCACGCCCTCCCAGTCCATTCCCTTTTATCCCAGAGAGCTGACCTGTCCCCCCCTTTAACCCACGTCAGGTCGCCTGAACTAAAGAAGCAAAACCAGGAGCTGTGGGATGCCATCCTCTGCCAAACACACAGACTTCCTGATTTTTCAGTTGTCTCCCATAAACACAAAGCCTGGAGTTGGGGCCAGAGAGGTAGCACAGCAGGCGGGGCACTTGTCTTGCACATGGTCAACCCGAGTTCTATTCCTGGCACCCCTTATGGTCCCCCGAGCCCATCAGGAGTGATCCCTGAGTACAAAGCCAGGCAGGAGTAAGCCCTGAGCATCGCCAGGTGTGGCCCCCAGACAAAGCCTGAAGTAGCCTCACGACTTGAATGCTGATGTTACTGAAATTTTCTTATTATCTGGGACCTGAGAAGGCAATCAGCAGTTTTCACTTTGGCCGCCATTATCATTTTAATTCATTTTCAAGCCACACTGAAGTGTTTTCTATAGATCTGGAAATCTCAAGGCAGGGGATCCGGGGATTTCTGATGGCAATCAAACTCCTGGAAGCTTCATATTTAAACCATAGCAATCAAGTTGAAGAGCTGTTCTGGACACATACCCCAGCTTCCTCCCACGCTAGACTGCAGAGCAGAGAGGGTGGGCAGTTAAGTCCCTGATAGCTGAATAGCAAAGGGGAAGGAAGCAAAGGGCCTTAGTGGTTTGATCTTTGTTATCCCTTTGACTGACTTCTGTCTTAAAGAAGGTGGCTAGGGCGGGACTGGTGGGGCTGAGTCTTCAGTAGCCCAGTCTGCAGAACCTGGGGCTTCCTTTGAGAACCCTGCTCTGCTGAGTATTCACAACCCCAGTAGAACAGAGGGAAGAAAGTAAGTTTCCTCCAGCACCAAAGGGCTCACCTCAAGTTTCTCCTACAAGGCAGGTGGTGGGAAGGGAAGGGAAGGGAAGTCTCGGCAAAAGACCTCAAGCACTGTTTTCAAACAACACAATGGCCAAGAAGGGCAGGGATTTGAGTTCAACTTGTGAATGGTTAGTACTAATCAGATCTACTTTAATTAGTCTGAGGGACATAAAATTTGCCATGATATAAGCAAAAAAAGTTATTGCGGGAGCATCGAAAAGTCACAAGGCCATAAAATCAACACGGCCAGCTCATAAAAACCAGGGGCCCCAATTTTTCTAACGGTTATCTCCCCTTTATGGCTTGGACACGTGGTTCTACCCTTCCCCAGGCCCCTAAGTTACCAGGCTGGAAATATCTGCCTGTCATAATAACCTTGGCTTCTAGACCAAAAGATGACAATTAAAATGAAAACTAACAACAGCAAAAGAGGAGGTGTGTGTGTGTGTGTGTGTGTGTGTGTGTGTGTGTGTCTCTAAATCAATTAGAGGAAACCGGAGCTTTAAAATTAATAACCCAATACTCATTTCTTGGCTGTGTGACTCAGGGTCCAGGGAGTAAATATGAGACTGATTCGGTGGCTGCATTTTGAACATGGGGGCCAATGTCTCTCATCCTACCCACCTCACAAGGAAGCTGGAAATGAGAAAAGAGGCAACCGATGTCAGGGGTGTGTTGATGAGTATAAAGCCCTACAGCATCTATGGCGAAACTGGGAGAAGGGCGCTGTTTGGTAGGTAAAGGACGGAACGTGTGAACTCTCTGGTTCAGCTGTGGAAACGCTAAGCCTGGTGTGAGGAGATGTGGCCTCAGGATGGGGGGTTGCCCTCAGAGCCCTCAGCCCAGCGCCCTTCACAGAGGGACCTAAGCAGAGTCGGAGCAAGCTCCTGGCCTTTGAGCTTCCCAGTATATTTTTCCGTCTTTCCTGTGGGAAGCCAAGCAAGGCCCATGGAGGCTGGTGTGGCACTAACGCATCAGAGGACACCCTGGCCTTGGACTTCCGGTGCTCAGAGCTGGGCAGGCCCACAGCTGCTCTCTGGCCACATGAAGAGATGACAAGGAACCCTCAGGCGACTTTCTCCTGAGAGCCCCTGCCTGTCCCCTCCTCCCCTACCCCCCCCCCCCGCCTCCCTCTGGTCACCAAGGGTGATTGGCAAGTTTGGGATCTGTCACCTTAGCTTGGGATCCGTCCACACCTGGGCACAGTGATCTCTGTCAATCTAGGTGGCACCCTGGCCTTCTCCTCCCCTGAGCAGAGACCCCCCCCCCCAGCTCTGGGGTCTGTGTCCTGGAGGGGGTTGGGAGCATCCCTCTGGTTTCAGGCCCCAGAAACACCCTGTTCTTTCACAGAGAAAATCCCACCCCTTGTGTCAGGTGAGGAGCCCAGGGAAGTAGGCTGCCGGCTGGCAAGCGGGACAGACAGTCCTTCGCAGACACATAGAGATGGGCTACACTCGTACTCAGGCTTCCCAGCCACCCAGTCCATTCTCCCTCCGTTATAGTAATTCCTTCCGTTACAGCAGCAAGGATGAAGACATGATCTGACCAACGTTTCTGAGGTGGCAGAAATAGTGCGATTTAGAGTTCCAAGGGAAGTGAGTGCTTCTGGGTCTAGCACACTCAGCGAGTCCCAGATGCCGCGGGTCCTGCGCTGAGGGAGGGAGGGCAGGATGTGTGTCTTCGCCCTGCTATTCCTGGTGCAAGGCAAGCACCCTACAAGCTCTAACTATCTCTACAGTGCCCTCAGGTTCTTTTTATATATATATATATATATATATATATATATATATACACTGTGGCAATAAAAAAGGGACTTGGTTCGGAGGGGGCCAGTCAGTCCCTGTGAGAGAGAAGTTTCCAGGCCATGATTAGCACATCTGGAGTTCGTTTGTCTCATAATAACATTTCATAAACACAAAGGGCAGCGCCCAGAGCAGGCAGAGAGCTGAACAACACCCACTAGTCTTTCTTGGGGAGTCTTTGCTGGGCATCAAACTCCCTCTCTCCCCCACACTGGATTGTGCAGGAGGTCGAGGCCGAGGAGGACAGAGGCTGGCTGTCTGTGTCCCAACTTATCCACAGATCCCGGGGAGCGCAGCCAGCCTGGCACGGGCACCAGGCAGCCCACACTCCGTTCATCTTCATTGTCACTTAATCACTTGGACCATTATCCCGTCAGAGCCTCCCAGGAATGTTAATAAGAAATTAGGCAAACTGCCCGTCACGCAAACGGCCTTGGGTTTCTACCACAGTGAGATCTGAACATGAGTGGACAATCGAGATTTCTTTCAAGTCAGTGAGTAGTTTTTAAGAACCACTGTAGCACTGTAGCACTGTCCTTCTGTTGTTCATCAATTTGCTCAAGCGGGCCCAGTAACGTCTCCATCGTGAGACTTGTTACTGTGTTTGGCATATCGAATACGTCACAGGTAGCTTGCCAGGCTTTGCCGTGTGGGCGAGATACTCTTGGTAGCTTGCTGGGCTCTTGAGAAGGGCGGAGGAATCGAACCTGGCTTGGTCAGGCCAGTTGCGTGCAAGGAAAACGCCCCCCCTCCCCCACCCCCCAAAAAACCCCAACCACCCGAAAAACTGATTCCAGCATTTCTTAGGTAGAAGAAACACTTAATGTGTCCCTGACCACCTTCCTATAGCTCTGAACAAACTTTGCCGCTTTGCCTCTTTAGGGTGATAGAAACCTGAGGCTCAAGAGAACTGACCAGAGAGTTCCATGAGGCAGCCTCTGAGGTGTCCCATGACCCCTGTTTGTTCTCTGCGAGTCAGTGACCAGGGTTCTCTCATGACAGGCAAGAAGTCAAGGACTCCCCCATTCTTGGTATAATAGTGTGACAGGATGCCCAGGGGACCCCCCCACCCACACACACACCGCCTGGTGACATGCTGGAGGAGCCTCAGCCTCCTGCCCAGGGCCACTCCATCAGACTGTGAGGCCATGAGAGATGAGGGACACAGACAGGGACCCTGGGGCAACCACTTACATGATGGACGGGATTTTAGCTTCGGCTGTCCTGTTGAAGAAGACGAAGAGGGCTTCTTTCTGCTTCTGTTTCTGGGGAAAGAGAAGTAGAGAGGGTCACGTTGCCCACCTGGAGGGCTCGGGGGTAAGGCCACGTTAACAGCATCCTCACACCACCCACCAGAGCTGGGAGGGCCCGGCCTCCATAATGACTAGTCCCCCTTCACTTGAACCATGGCACAGGAACTGTCTGGACGCGGGGCCCAAACTGAGAGACACGATGTTATGGCTCCCTGATCATTCACGAAGAACTGTTCTGAGACTCAAGGAGGCAAGAAACGTGATGTGACCGTCTATCCTTCACAATGATCTCCTGACAGGACAGAATGTGTATAAAGATTTTTTTGGGTTTTTTTTTTTTTTTTTTTTTTTTTGCTTTTTGGGTCACACTAGGCGATGTACAAGGCTTACTCCTGGCTCATGCACTCAGGAATTACTCCTGGCAGTGCTCAGGAGACCATATGGGATGCTGGGGATCGAACCCAGGTCAGCCGCGTACAAGGCAAACACCCTCCCTGTTATGCTATCACTCCAGCCCCACTTTTTTTTTTAAACCTAGAATAATGAGTACCCGAAATAACTTAACTAGCTGACTAAACATGTATGGAAAATTTATAAGGCCATGAAAGGAAAACACTGCATCTTTCTTGCGTGCGTGAGTGTTTGTGTGTGTGTGTTGGGGGCCACATCTGGCCATGCTTAGGGCTAACGCCTGGCTCCTTGCTGATGGTGGTTGTGTGTGGTGCTGTGGACAGTCTGGACACTGGGCCCATGTTTAGAGGCACACCATTATGGTTCCCTGGTCAAGACTTAGGGAGGCAAGAGCCATGAGGTGGCCCTCTACTTCCAGTTGACCTCCTGACATTCAGGCAAATATCTGGGTCAGCCACAGGCAGGGCAAGTGCCCTACCTGTGGTACTATGATTGCAGCCCAGGAAACACTGTATCTGTTTAGGGCTGGAGCGATAGTACAGCGGGGAGGGCATTTGCCTTGCCTGCGGCTGACCTGGGTTTCATCCCAGGCATCCCATATGGTCCCTCAAGCAACTCCAGGATTAATTCCTGAGTGCAGAGCCAGGAGTAACCCCTATGCATCGCCGGGTGTGACCCAAAAAGAAAAAAAATATAATGCTTGAAAAGCATCTTTCAGGCCACAGTGATAAGACAGGCGGTAAGGTATCTGCCTTGCACTGCAGTTTGAGACCCAGCACACTACAAAGGGTTCCCCAGACAGCACTGGAGGTCACCCCTGAGGACAGAGTCAGGAATCACCCCTGAGCACTGCAGCTCCCATCCCTCACCATCCCCCTTCAAATAAAAAAGACGCATTAACAGCATGGTATAGTTTTTGTAATCCATCCTCTTAAGTTGTGATCCCAATCCTGGTTTCATTTTATTTTATTCATTTATTTTTAAGTGTTTTTATTTTATTTTTTGCTTTTTGGGTCACACCTGGCGATGCTCTGGAGTTACTCCTGGCTCTGCACTCAGGAATTGCTCCTGGCGGTGTTCGGGGGACCATATGAGATGCTGGGATTGAATCTGAGTTGGCTGGGCTACATGCAAGGCGAACGCCCTACCCTCTGTACTCTCACTCTCACCCCACCCCATATCCCAGTTTTAAAATGTAATTATTTACATCCCTGGGTGAGGGATATGGCTCAGTGGTCAAATGCTTGCCTCACATATGTGAGGTCCTGGGTTCTATCTCCAGCACTGCCATAGATAAATAAAATGTGTGTGCATAATTCTTTCCATATGCATTAAGTTATACATAAGAGTGTAGAAAGACAAAGATGTATTTTATTTTATGTATTTTTTTTACTCTGAATTATTTTATTTTATTATTTTTCCAAAGATGTATTTTAAAGCAAAATATATATTTTATAAAAAAACATTAACATATCTGCTGAAATATAAGTTTTCTAAAAGATGGGTGAATTTTTTTTGTTTTGCTTTGGTGTCACATCTGGTGATGCTCAAGGGTTACTCCTGGTTTCCCGGTTTTGTACTCAGGAATCACCCCTGGAAGTGCTTGGGGGACCATACAGGGTGCCAGGTATCGAATCTGGGTCTGCCTGGGAGTAAGGCAAGCACCCTATTCGCTCTAACTATCTCTCCAGGCCCTCAGGTGAGCCTTTTTATAGTATGGCAAAATATTTGACAAATGTGATTTACTGGACGTTCCTGCCATTCCCCTCCCAATATTTTATACAATAGACATCTATTATACTTTAAATGTGGGAGAAACAGCTTTCTCTTGAAAAAAAAAAAAATCTTGTGAAACTGGTTAGACACAAGACCAGCCCATTTGTAATCTCATTTCTTTTGCCGCCCCGGGGCCAGGACATTTTAAATCCCAGGCCCTCTTTGTTCTGCCTCCTAGGCCTTTATTAAATCAGCTCCACCGAGGTTTGGCACTGACTTTCTGAGCTGCCATCTGAATGGAGAGTCAAGTGCGGAGGGGAGGGAAACGGTCCCCAGGAAGTCTGCATGGACTCGCTCCATTTCTCAGCTTCTGGTTTTGCTGATCAAAAAATGGGCTCTAGACAAAAGATGATTAGAGTCAGCTTTTCTTGGCCTGTGAAGAGGCCGCTATTATTTCGGCTGAAAACGAGCAAAAGATTTTGCTCTCATTGTATTTTTATAAATTGCCAGCTTCACCCTTGGTGCCTGTGATTTAAAGCTTCTTTAAACAGTGTCTTCCTTCCTATGGGAAGGGATGAGGGAACCAAAAAAAAAAAAAAAAAACCAAAACCAACTACTTCTAGATGGGTCAGCAGTGACCGGCTAAAGCCAGCATTGTGTAGAATCAGGGAGATGAGGTGCTGCTTGGAGGTTAGCGATGAAAGTGGGGTGTGAGCTCTGCAGATTAGCAAAGCCTCCCTGTTCAAGGAAATTCATAAAACCATGAGGCCCGATCACCTCTGTCAAGTCAGGGCTTCCAGGCTGGCCGAAGTGTGAAAGCACCATCTATGACCAGTCTGTCTTTTTCCAAGCAACACCGGCTCCCCTCCCAAGTCAAGTTGGGGTGTTGTTCCCAGGGGGCCCTGTTGCACCACACCCTCATCTGGAGAGGAAGAAAGGTTCTGAGTGGCCAAAGTCCCTCAATTCCTCTGAATTTTCCATTATGCAAGTGAACTGACATAAAGGCACTCAACAAAAGGGAACCAAGTATGCAAGAATTTCACCTCCTCTTATTGAAATAAATTGTTCCTTTCTTTTCTTTTCCTATTGAGCCACACTTGGCAATGCTCAGGGGGTCACTCCTGGCTCTGTCCTCAGAAATTCCTCATGACGGGGTGCATGCGAGTCCATTATGTGATGCCAGGGTTCGAACCTGGGTTGGTGGCATGCAAGGCAAACCCCCTGACCACTGAACTACCTCCCCAGCCCCAGAAATGAAGTGAGTTTCTGGCATCCGTGTCCTATTGAAGGAAATCTGTCCCAACTCAAATTCTCTCTTTCGGGGACAAACTTTTAATTTTTCTGAAGTCTCCAAGGAAGCAGACAGCAACTATCAAGCCCTAGGCGGAGAGGAGCCGTGGGTGCTTTCCCAGCTGGAGTCCCCTGGGATTGCCCTGGGGTGCAGGCTTCACTTCCATAAACCGCAGAGCACCATGAAGACTGCAGGTGAGAAAACAGAGAGGACAGTCCCCACCAGGAGGCACTCAGCACTGAGCACTGTCTGTCTGCCATACCTTCCCTGTACCAAGTGGATGGTGTGTGTGTGTGTGTGTGTGTGTGTGTGTGTGTGTGTGTGTTTGTAGGTATGTGTCTCCCTCTATTCCAGAAGAAAATTTACAAACTATCCCAGAAATTTTTTTTTCTTTCTGGGTCATACCCGGTGATACACAGGGGTTACTCCTGGCCCATGCACTCAGGAATTACTCCTGGCTGTGCTGGGGGGGGGGGGGGGGGGGAGGTGGAGGACCATATGGGATGCTGGAATCAAATCCCGGTCGGCCTCATGCAAGGCAAACATCCTACCCACTGTGCTATCACTCCAGCCTTTATCCTAGAAATTTTTAAGGAATTTAGCTACGGGAGGTTAAAATGCAGCCCACCTGCACACACTCTTGCTTTCTAAGGCTCAGCTGAGTTCATTTCACATCACAACCGGGAAACTCCAGCTTTCCAGTGACACCCAAAATCCCGTTCGGGAAGGGGGTCACCCACCTGCCTTGAGGAAACAGACCAGCTGTTTGTCTCATGGGAACCAAAGTTAGTGGGACGAAAGGTCTACAGAAGTGATAAGAAAAATGGCTTCTTGCCCCCAACAGTCAGAAAGGGATCGCTAAGCTGGACTGTAGCAAAAGGACAGCTTGGTCCTATGAGGCTCCGAGGAAACAGAATGAGGAAGGGTGAGCCTTGGCTGTCCAAGCAGGCAGGTGCTTTCAGGATTTCACCACAAAGAGAGCAGGCTACTTGGTTCTGCTCCTCTGGGCCCTCCACAATCCTCCGTGCACACAGCATGAATGAAACCCAAACTGGCAAGTTACAAGGCAGCTTCTGGTGCCAGCCAGGCTTGCTCATCATATGGAAAGGTAAAGGTAAAGGCCCTCCCGTTGATCGTCGATTTGCTCGAGCGGGCCCAGTAACGTCTCCATTGGAGACTTTGTTGTTACTGTGTCTGGCATATCGAATACTCTCGGTAGCTTGCCGGGCTCTCCGAGAGGGGCGGAGGAATCGAACTCGGGTCGGCCATGTTGGCCGCTTGTAAGGCAAACGCCCTACCCGCTGTGCTATCGCTCCAGCCCCATCATATGGAAAAATAACATAAAAAATAACATAAACCCCCCCCCCAAAAAACAAAAAAAAAAATACTCGGGGCTGAAGCAAGAGTAAATAGCACAGTGGGTAGAGCATTTACCCTGCACATGGCTCACCCAGGATCGATCTTCGCACCCCATATGGTCACCCCAAGCCCACCAGGAGTGATCCCCAAGTGCAGAGCTAGGAGTGGGCCTGAGCACCAAAACCAGCCAAAAAAAAACAACCCCCACTATCTTAAACTAAGAAGCTTCTGCACCTCAAAAGAAACAGTGACCAAAATACAAAGACAATCTACAGAATGGGAAAGGATATTCGCGGAATACACATCTGACAAGGGGTTAATATCAAGGATATACAAGGTACTGGTTGAACTCCACAAGAAGAAAACATCCAACTCCATCAAAAAATGGGGCAATGAAATGAACAGAAACATTCTCAAAGAAGAAATCCGAATGGCAAAAAAGCACATGAGAAAATGCTCTACATCATTAATCATCAGGGAGATGCAGATCAAAACCACAATGAGATACCATCTCACACCTCAGAGACTGGCCCACATCCAAAAGAACAAAAGCAACTGGTGCTGGCGCAGATGTGACGAGAAAGGGACCCTCCTTCACTGCCGGTGGGAATGTCGACTGGTTTAGCCCTTCTGGAAAACAGTATGGACGATTCTCAAAAAATTAGAAATTGAGCTCCCATTTGACCCAGCAATACCACTCCTGGGAATATATCCCAGAGAGGCAAAAACATATAGTCGAAGTGACATCTGCACTTGTTTGTTCATTGCAGCACTCTTTACAGTAGCCAGAATCTGGAAAAAACCTGAATGCCCAAGAAAAGATGACTAGTTCAAGAAACTTTGGTACACTACACAATGGAGTACTATGTAGCTGTTAGAAAAGATGAAGTCATGAAATTTACATACAAGTGGTACAACATGGAAAGTATCATGCTAAGCGAAATGAGTCAGAAAGAGAGGGATAGACATAGAAAGACTGCATTCATCTGGGGGACATAAAGTAACAACATAGGAGATTAATACCCAAGAATAGCCGAGATCAGTACCAGGAGGATTACTCCATGGCTTAGAGGCCAGCTGGGCATTCTAGGGGAAAGGGCAGCTCAGATTGAGAAGGGAGCACCAAATAAAGGGTGTTTGGAGGATCCTCCCAGGATGGGAGATGCATGTTGAAAGTAGACTATGGACTGAACATGACTGACACTCAATGCCTCTTTGGAAGACCACAACACCCAAAAGAAGAGAGAGAACAAAAGGGAATGCCCTGCCACAGAGTCAGGGTGGGATGGGGGGGTGGGTGTGGGAGGGATACTGGGATCCATGGTGGTGGAAAATGGGCACTGGTGGAGGGATGGGTATTTGATCATTGTATAATCGAAACCCAAGCACAAAAATTTGTAAATCTACAACTGTACCTCATGGTGTCTCACTAATAAAAATTAAAAAAAAAAAAAAAAACCCAAATCATGCCTACTCTCTCTTTTCATTCTTAGTTACTTCGTAATCTCCCAGCAGATAAAGATCTCATCTAGATCTAAGTGTTTTTTTTTTATACAGGGTAATAATAAGCCCAGATAACGCTTTATGATAATGTCAAAAAATGTCAATGGCTGCTATTTTCCTAGTAATGAAAACCACCCGGTTTCGTCCCAAGAGGACAGCAATGGAGCAAGTATAGATGACTCTGCTCCGCTCAGCACGGCATGACACTAAAGACAGAAATGAAATAAAAAAAAAAAGTATTTTGAAAAACTGAAACTGCAATAGCAGAAAGAATCCTAAAATATTGGGGCCGATGGTCTGGTTATGGCTTTAAAGCTACTTCTGTGTAGCCAAATGGCAGCTGAGAGTCTATCGCAAGTCTCTGGGGGCCTCCGTTTCCCTCCCTGAAAAAAAAAAGGTGATGAAAATGCCCTGTTATCCATACGTGACCATGCATAATGAGGCGTCAAAGGACTAAGAGGTGGAGAAATGCTTACTTCACTATATCAAAGCCTATTTGCTATTCTGATCCAAGCAAAGGACACAAGCTAGTTAGACAGTTGATGTACATACGCAAGACATACAAGACTAACTTACCCAACTGGAACTCGATGTGAGGGATTCTCGAAAGACACTGGACATAAATCCCACCTTTCTTGGGGGCATTTACATTATACACCAATTCCTTGTGTGTGGGGGGGAGGGACAGTACAGTGGGTAAGCTCTAACCTTGCATGCAGCCGACCCAGGTTTGATCCCCAGCACCCTGAGTACAGAGGCAGGAGTCAGCCCTGAGCATGGCCAGATGTGATCCCAATACAATTTTTTTTTTTTTGCTTTTTGGGTCACACCAGCGACACACAGGGGTTACTCCTGGCTCATACTCTGAGGAATTACTCCTGGCAGTGCTCAGGGACCATATGGTATGCTGGCAATCGAACCCAGGTCGGTCACGTGCAAGACAAATGCCCTACCTGCTGTGCTATCACTCCAGCCCCCAATATATTTTTTTTCCAAAATTTATTTATTTATTTTTGCTTTTTGGGGTAACACCCAGCGAGGCTCTCAGGTTCCTCCTGGCTCTGCACTCAGGAATTACTCCTGGCGGTGCTCGGGAGACCAAAAGGGATGCTGGAGATTGAACCTGGGTCAGTCTCGTGCAAGGCAAACACCCTACCCACTGCACCCTGGTTCTAGCCCTACAATGTCTTTCTTTTCTTTTTTCTTCTTCTTTTTTTTTTTTTCTTTTTGGGTCACACCCAGCGATGCACAGGAGTTACTCCTGGCTCATGCACTCAGGAATTACTCCTGGCAGTGCTCGGGGGGCCATATGGGATGCTGGGAATCGAACCCGGGTCGGCTGCGTGCAAAGCAAACACCCTACCCGCTGTGCTATCGCTCCAGCCCCACTTTTTAAAGCAGATTATATATCGCTCTCCAGAAGTGGCCCACCCGGCAACTGACACCAGCATAAAACTGCCAATAAGTATGCGATCCTAGAAGCTGACCAGACCAGGCAGGCCCACTGGCCTTGACCAGGGGAAGGGAAGAGGTTGGGGCCAGGCCACTCCCGTCCGAGATCTCCGGGTCCCATCTGCAGAGCCCCTCCCCATCAAGGCAGGAGCCCCGTCCTTCCCCTGCCCTGGACTCACTGTGTTCTTGGTGGTCATCTCCTTGGCCGCAGCGTCCAGGGCGGCCCTGGTCTTGGCACTCATGCGCTCGGGGGCCACCACCACCATCTTGCGCTGCTTGGCGGGGAGCTGGGACAGGACGTCGCTCTTGAGACGCCGCAGCATCACCACCTCCTCCAGCAGGATCTTCAGCTCCCCCAGGTTGGAGGAGCCCGAGTAGTCCCATCCCCAGGGCTGCTGTAGGATGCGGGAGGGGGGGAGAGACGCTCGTGAGTTACAGGGGGCCTGCCACCTCCTCCAGGGAGGCCACCATCCTCATCACTGTCTCCTCCTGGTCTCGACTTTTTCACTCCTTTGCACCATCACCCAGGAGACCTCTGGACTGGAGAGGTGACTGACAGGACAGCGGCGAGGGCATTGGGGCCTTTGTCTGTGCCTTGTCCCGTTGTGGTCCCGGCTCCACACGTTGTCCCCTCTAGAGCCCTGCCAGGAGGAAGCTCCCGAGCACTGTCAGGTGTGGCCGCCCCCAAACCAAAACCCGAACAAGAACACAGGAGACCCAGTAAGGCAAAGGAGGAAAGGTGGGCAGGAATGAATGAAGGGGAACAGAAACCACAAGGAGCAGGGGGCGAGGGGGAGAGGGGGGTGTCTGCTATCTGACACCAAGTTTTCTAGCAGCAAACTCCAAAAAGACATCAAGAGATGGGGGAGGCGGGCTGGGAAGCGGGGGTTGTCATGACAGGCAAAAATGAACAAAAAGTGATAGCACAGCGGGTAGGGCGTTTGCCTTGCACTCGGCCGAGACCTGGGTTCGATTCCCAGCATCCCATATGGTCCCCCAAGCACAGCCAGAAGTAATTCCTGAATGTATGAGCTAGGAGTAACCCATGAGCATTGCTGGGCGTGACCCAATAAGCAAAAAAATAAAAAATAAAAAATAAAAGAACAAAGCCTGTAGCCTGTCAGGCGGATGCTGTCTGCGAGGTACCCAGAGGCCCTGCCTGGAAGGTTCCCTACCCCAGAGCGCGGGGCCCAGTGTGGTCCAGCCCACTGCCCAGCACCTGTGTCCCGAGGTTGTGCAGAGAGGAACTGAGATCGAGGCCCCTGAGCACGGGTCACCCCAACTCAACCACATGAAGTGAAGTAAATGCAACTGAAGCTCGGGGCAGGGAGTCAGGGGGCTGGAGGAGGCACCCCAATAGTCTGGCAGAACCCAGACATGGGTTTGATATGCCAAGGGGGGGTCCCCCATAAACATAGGCCCCTCTGCTAGTGGCTCAGGGGAGGGAGCGAGCAGGAACATCAGCAGCTAGGGATGCTCCCGACAGACACTGAGGAGGCAGGACTGACCTCCACAATCTCACAGGGTATTTTAGCTGCTTGCCTCCCTTCTTTTCCCTGTCAACTACCTCCTGCCGGGGGCCCGCGGCACGCCCATTGCTGAGGGCCGAGGAGACAGAAGTGGTATATCCTGGAACCCGATGTTAAGCTGAGACTAGAAAAAGACAGTCAACTCAACAGGAAGTTCTGAGCAAATGACTTCCTGCCACGGGGCTGCAAATGAGCTTGGTAGGGAACATTCTCCCCACTGGCTTCTCCTAATGCAACAAGCTGGGAACACAGATGCCCGTGAGCACTCCCCGGGTCCCTGAACACTCCCAGTCTATCCGCTGCATCAAATAGAAGGCACGCTGGGAGCAAGAAGATATTTTTATTAATGTGGAAGGTGGATATCCTATTCCTACATTCTTCTCCTTTTTTTTTTTTTCTTTTTGGGCCACACCCGGTGATGCTCAGGGGATACTCCTGGCTGCTCAACACTCAGGAATTACTCCTGGTAGTGTGTGAGGAACCATATGGAAGGTCAGGCATTGAGTCTGGGTCAGGTATGTGCAAGGCAAACACCCTCCTCGCTGGACTATGGCTCTGGTCATCCAGACTCCTTCCTACATTCGATTACTGGCAGCTCTTAATATTGCAGATTCCAACTCAGTAATACCAAAGAGTTTATATCAGACTTTTTTTTTTCTTTTTGGGTCACACCCAGCAATGCACAGAGGTTACTCCTGGCTCTGCACTCAGGAATCACCCCTAGCAGTGCTCAGGGGACCATATGGGATGTGCATGCAAGGCAAACGCCCTACCCGCTGTGCTATTGCTCCAGCCCCCCAGACTTTGTATTCTTTACTTGAGGGCCGTGCCCCGCTAAGCTCACGGCTTACTCCTGTCAAGGCTCAGGGCACTGTTTGTGGGATGCCAAGGATGAGGTCGGCCTTGTGCAAGGCAAGTGCCCTTTCTGCTGTCCTATCTGTCTGGTCCCCCATACTGGACTTTGGAATGAACACTTACCCGGTATTGGGCACTGGGTTGGGGGAAAGGAAGAGAAAGATGAGGAGGGCCCTATTGGCTTTCAATAACAGGTAGAGGTGAGAGGGCAGGCAAGAGAGAAAGGGCCAACTAGAGGCTGGCAGGAGCGGGCAGGGTGACGCCAGACGGGAAACCCAAGGACAGAGAGCTCACGCTGAAGTCCATCCTGAACATCCCTCCATCGTGGACTCACATCACCCCAGAGCCCAAAGACATGAGAGGAGAGGATCCCTCCAGGAAGTGGATCATTTGCAAAGGAGACAGACACATGAATCACTCATGAAGAGTCGGGGGTGGGGGGCAGGGGGGAGGAGGGAGGAGAGGGAGGAAGACAGTGATTATATACAATCAATCTAATCAGGACTGATGGGGGGGTGGGAGAGAGGGGTGGGGGATGGGGGGTGTGCTACAAATGCTATTTAAAGCAGAGAATGGTTTTATTGACACTTAATCACAGAAATCTCCTGCCTGAATAACCAGCTAAAAATAGTTTGCCATTAACTTTGCAAAGGACAACAATTTACACTGGAAGTATTTTGTTTGACTATTAGCGGATTATTTTAAAAGTACTTGAGAAGGTGGTAGAAAACATGGCGAACTCTTCAAGTCCGTGCTCTCCCTTGAACACGTGCCTCCCCTGGCTGTCTCTATGTTTCTTTGCTTGCCTACTTCCACTCTAGAGAAGCCTGTGTTCTCTCTCAAATGCATACTTCTCTCTCTCTCTCTCTCTCTCTCTCTCTCTCTCTCTCTCCTCTCACATCTTTCTAAACAAGTCTCAATAAAATCTATCTTGCTTCACACGCCCCACCCACCCAAGGAAAAAAGGTGATAGAAAATATACAGTGTACATGAATCTTAGGAATGAAAACGCGCGCACACACACACACACACACACACACACACACACACACACACAGAGTTTTCAGCCTTCCTTTCATAAATGTAAAGAGTCAGGGCTGGGAACTAAGCTCAGGGATAAAGCCTGGGATGTGAGTTCGATCCCTGGTACTGAAAAAAATAAAGTTCCAGGGACAGGAGCGATAGTACAGTGAATCAGATACTTGCCCTGCATGTAGCCAATCCAGATTTAATCCTCAGCATCCCATATGGTCCCCTGAGCACTGCCAGGAGTCATTCCTGAGTGCAGAGCCAGGAGTAACCCCTGAGCATTGCCGGGCTGGGCGATCCAAAAACAAAAACAAAAAAAAACCCCATAACAATAAATAAATAAAAGGTTACTGATACAAACAGTTGCTGGGTATATCTGTGATTCCATCACAAAAATGGGGAATCTGAAGGTCAGAATCAATGAGGCGTGAGTCCAGATCCTTCACTCTCTAGCAGCCATGAGCCAAGTTGTTCAGAATTTGTGTCTAGGGTATAGTCTAATGTTGTGCCCCATAAATAAGACTGGCCTGAATGACTGTTTGCTTTACCCTAACAACTTCTGGGACAGGCATGATTTCCCTTTCTCTGTCAGAGGACCTTCTCCTCCTGGGCCAGAATGTCTCCTTGTTCTCTCTGGACCCATCTCTGAGATGCAGCTCAGCTGGGAGCTTTCAGATGCAAAGTCTCTGTCAGAGGCACTGCTCACAGTTTGGTGTGAATGGATTTAATCGCACATCAGGAAGAATTTGGGGTTGGGGTGAAATGGAATTTACACGTTTAAATATGGTGGGCAGGGCTGGAGCGATAGCACAGTGGGTAGGGCGTTTGCCTTGCACGCACCAACATGGCCGACCCGGGTTTGATTCCCAGCATCCCATATGGTCCCCCGCGCACTGCCAGGAGTAATTCCTGAGTGCATGAGCCAGGAGTAACCCCTGAACATCGCTGGGTGTGACCCAAAAAGCAAAAATAAATAAGTAAATAAATAAATATGGTGGGCTTCCCGAGGACCACCAGGAGTGATTCCTGAGTTACAGAGCCAGGAAAACTTGAGCATTGACGGGTGTGACCCCAAAAATTAAAAATATATATATATGGATAGATAGACATTCACACACACACACACGCACACATATATACTTTTGGTTTTTTTTGGTTTTTTGCTTCTTGGGTCACACCTAGCGATGCATAGGGGTAACTCCTGGCTCATGCACTCAGGAATTACTCCTGGCGGTGCTTAGGGGACCATATGGGATACTGGGAATCAAACCCAGGTTGGCTGAGTGCAAGGCAAATACCCTACCCACTGTATTCCAGTCCCTATAGACAGGCTTTGTAACTGTCTGTGTTTCTTCTGATCAGATATGTGATAAGAGAGCAAAAGGGAGAGGGAGCAAATGAATGAGCGAAAGAGAGGAAGATGGTACAGGCAAATGAAAGAACGGGCTCATTTTAGGGAAAAAAACTGCATCCTACTTTCACTTCTCCATGTCATGAAATAAACATTCCCTCCCCACCCCCCCCCCCATCTTAAAAAACTGAGCAGGGGCTGGAAAGATAGTACACAAGGTCTGGCCCTTGAGGGCAGACCCAGGGTTCAATTCCTGGTATCCCACAGGGTCCCCCAAGGCCTACCAGGAGTGAGCAGAGCCAGGAGTCTGCCCTGGACACAGCCAGGTGTGCCCCCAAACCAAACCAAAAACAAACAAACAAACAAAACTGACCATGAAACTAACCCTCTTAGTACAGCCTAGGAGAACAGGCATTCACTGATTAATGATCAGGTCAAGGAGAAAAATAATCCCCGAGAAAGTAACTCTCAGTCCTGTCATATTTGTGTGAATGGTCAGTCGCCAAAGAACATTAGTTGGAATCAAGGTTCCAATTCAAGGTCATTCAAACCTGAGTTGCCAGGGTTTGGCGAAGTCTGGCAGAATTTGCCGTGTTCTCACAAGATAAGACTTTTCCTCTGTGAACACACACAAAGGAAATACTTGCAATGCCTGTACGTGTGTATGTGTGTGTTGGGGGGATCGAGGTTTTGACCATTGTGATTTTGGGTGCAGCAGTAGTTTTCACACACTTCCACGGCTGCCCTCTGCCAGTGTTGGAGAACTGAAGCTGGCAGACTGTAAGGTCGCTGGCAGCTGGCAGTTCTCTAAGGCGGCTGTTCCACGGATATTGTGGTCACAGAAATCAGCTGCAAGACAAGGCTTCAGAGAGCTGACCGGACACAACTAACTAGTCCATGTTTATGTTTTTGGGTGTGTGTGTGTGGGGGCGGGGGGGTTGGATTTCTGGGCTACACCCTTTAGTGCTCAGGGCTTACTCCCAGTTCAGCACTCAGGAGTCACTCCTGGCAGTGCTTCGGGGCCCATCCGGGATGCCGGAGGTCGAATTCAGTTTGCCCCCATGCAAAGCAAGTACCATGGGGCCAAAGCAATAGGACAGCAGGTAGGGCGTTTGCCTTGCATGCAGCCGACCCAGGTTCAATTCGCAGCATCCCATATGGTCCCCCGAGCACCACCAGGAGTAATTCCTGAGTGCAGAGCCAGGAGTAACCCCTGTGCACTGCTGGGTGTGACCCAAAAGGAAAAAAAAAAGCAAGTGCCGTACTCACTGGAACTTACCCATCTCCAGTCCCAGACAAGTCAATGTGTACAAGCAAAGGTTCATGGCCTCAGCTGCCCAAGGCGGCACCAGACCTTGCTCCTCAACTCACAGACCTTTTTGTAGAGAATGTTTTTATATTGCTCCATACCAAGTCACCTTCATTTGCCTCATCCTCTTCCTTCCCTCTTCCGGGAATTCAGATGCCTCTGCATCTTTCAGGTTTTGGGAGGACGGCTGCTGGCTTTAGTTCTCCAAAGTCCCACAAGTCTATGAGTTAGTGACCAGTCCCTTTGCTGGAAAAACACTAACCCGCATCCCCACCAGCCCCAGGAGGCTGAGGAATGACAGTCTCTCATCCTTGAGGACACACCAAGGTCTGATGGAGGAGCAGAGAGAAACTGAAGTCTGGGTCCAGGGGCTGGAGTGATAGCACAGCGGGTAGAGTGTTTGCCTTGCATGCAGCTGACCCGGGTTCGATTCCCAGCATCCCATATGGTCCCCCGAGCACTTCCAGGAGTAGTTACTGAGTGCGCGGGCCAGGAGTAATCCCTGTGCACCACCAGGTGTGAAACCCCCCCCCCCCCAAATAATAATAATAAAGTCTGGGTCCAGCGCCCTGGTCTGAGCTCTGCTGAAGCCATAGCTAAAGAGAAGGGTCTGGAAGATGAAGGCTGAAACTCAGGGGAAGGAAGTAGGAAGAAGGGTAAGGAACAAAGAAGGGGGACCAATACCCGCTTGGCATCACAGTAGCGAACTCCGAAGAGATGGAAGTGCGGGAAGAACGTGGGCTTGACGGCGATGATCTGCGTGTAGAGTTCCGCGGGCCGGGACATGGCTGGCGTGCCCGACAGTAAGATCACCCTCTTGGCCATCTGGAACGCAAGCAGACAAAGGCTCTGAGCACACAGGGACAGTCCCAAATGCTCCAGGAAGTGAAAAAGTCCCTCGCAAACTGGCACAGACCGCCTTTCTCTTCCAGGGCCCTGCTGATGGCTGTGGGTGGCTGTGGGCTTTATTCATCTTTATTCACCACGGGAGGGGGCAATGGCACAGACCCTCAGGAGTGGCCTCCCTGCAGGGCTTTAGGGCCCCCCACTAGAAGCCTTTAGGAAAGGAAGGGACGACAGTCAGAGAGAAGGGGTAGGTGTGGGCAAGGAAGCTCCTGGCACACCCCAGGCAAGGCAGCTGGACAGCACCCTCTTCCTTTGAGTGAGTCCTCCCCAGCTGCCTGGCCAGCACCGTCTGCCCACCTCTATATTAGCGCTCACTGTATTCCGCAGAATCCTATCTCGTCTGTCTCCCTCGGAGGACCACTAACTCCTTGCCGTCAAGGAAAAGGCGAGATGTTCGCCTCTGTTTTCTGTAGCACTGAGCAGAGCATCAATCCACGTCTGCTCTGCGCTTGAGCAGTACTGAGAAGGCAGACACTCGCTGAGCTTGGGAACAAAGAGCAGACGCAGAAGCTTGGGCAGCGGAGGAGGAAATGGACACGGGGGACGGCAGCAACCAGGGCTCGGCTTCATCCAGGACGGACACCCCACAGCCGAGCTCGAGCAGTCACCAGACGATGGCACTGAAAAGTAGCCCTCTCTCACCCGCAGGGGCTGCCGAAGTATATAAATCCAATTGGTTTTCTTTTTCTTTTTTCTTTTTGCTTTTTGGGTCACACCTGGCGATGCACAGGGGTTAATCCTGGCTCTGCTCTCAGGAATTACGCCTGGCAGTGCTCAGGGGACCATATGGGATGCTGGGAATCGAACCCAGGTTGGCTGCGTGCAAGGCAAACACCCTCCCAGCTGTACTATTTGCTCCAGCCTCACCGTTTGGTTTTCTTTAGCAGGCAACCAAAAGAGGTGCTCAAAAGCTGCCTTAGAGCCCAGGGATCCCTGCCTCCATCCCCTCCACAGTTCTTGAGGGCTTTAAGGATTGGGAACGAGGTGCGTTCGTTTCCTGGAAGCCCCGGCCAGGTATGCAGCAGCTGCTCAGTGGAGGCGGTTTAGAAGTAAACAGCTGGTTCATTTCAGTGACAAATGCCAAGTTCCTCACTCTGCTGACATCAAGACCAGACTCAAGTACCCAGCCTCTTACTGAGATGGGAAAAGAGGGCCAGGAGAGGGAGAGAGGGAGAGAGAGAAAGGGGGGGGGGGCGTACAGAGAGAAAGACAGAGAGAGAGAGAGAGAGAGAGAGAGAGAGAGAGAAGAGACCACACAGAGAGAGAAGAGGGGAGGGGAGAGAGTGCATAGAGAGAGACAGAGAAGAAAGAGAAGAGAGAATGCACAGACAGAGGAGAGAGTGTGCAGAGAGAGAGAGAGAGAGAGAGAGAAGAGAGACTGCGCAGAGAGAGACAGAGAGAGAGAGAGGAATGAGCACATAGAGAGACAGACAGAAAAGAGAGAGAGAGAGGAGAGAGGGAGGAGAGATGAGAGATCGTGCAGAGAGAGAGACAGAGAAAGAGGAGAGAAAAAAGAGCTTGCAGAGAGAGAGAGAGAGACAGAGAGAGAGAGAGAAAGGAGAAAACCAGAATGATAGCACAGAATAGCCAAAAATTACTGAAGGTGAAATTCATCCCAGCTCGGGAGAGGAGAGTGAGTGCTGTGGCACTGGGTTGTCTAGAAGCAGCTTGTTAACCACCGTAACCTTGAGTTAATGACAGTGGTAGACTGCGACGGCAAGCAGTAAATCACCCGAGGGAGGAAATTAGGTTTTCAAGTGGATGCACAGGGTCATAGAAATAAATACAGAAATAGATAAATAAAGATGCAACCGAGAGAGGAGGTGGGGGGGTGGGGGAGACATGATTCTTTGTAAATATACAATCCATACGGCTCTCCAGGTGCCCTTCTGCCCTCCCAGCAACCGCCAGGACCCAATTCCATCATGACAGGAGAGCTATGAATTTTCAGCGCTATAATTTCCCACAGTTCAATTACCCCAGCCTTCTAATTTCCTGCACGGCCTAACGTGGCGGGCTCATTAAAATAACAATGAGCTTCTTGAGTGACGTCCACAGCCTCCTCGCCTGCCTTGGCGGGTGACCATTTCCAAGAATTGGGAAAATGGAAAGAATCATGGCTCAGAGAGAATTGGCCCCTCACCCCAGCGAATAATGCTGCCTGGGAATGGAAGTGGGAGGCAGAAGAGCTTTCCAAGTGCAGGTGATGGAAGTTAACTCCTGGGGGGGTGGGGGGGGGTGTCTCTACCAAGACACAGCCAGGAGACAGACGTTCAACTTGAGTTCTCCCAGAAGCTGCCCCTGAGAAGGATCTGATGGATTCGCTGAACAGGAAGGTGCGTGGGTGTTTTAAAAAAAAACACGCGTGGAGCCAGAGTGACACAGTACAGCACACAGGGCGCTTCCCTTGCATGCACCGACTAAAGGTTTGATCCCTGCCATCCCATACGGTCCCCTGAGTCTCCCAGCAGCCTGTCCCCACATGCGGAGCCAGGAGTGAGCCCTGAGCACTGCTGTGTATGCCCCCTCCCCGCAAACAAAAGAAAACAACTGTTGGTCTGGCTCAAAAGCCTAACTTCCTGCAGCCCTTCCACAGAGAAAGTCACGATGACAATTTGTTTCTCTGACACAGCCTTCATGGTAGGACTGTCTGAATGGCTACAGGACTTTTCGTGTTATGGGTGAGTCTCATAATCTAACTGCTTTCGTTCTTGTTTTGTGTTAGGCATGGTGATAGGGGTGAATACAGATGACACAAAAAATAAAACAAAACAACCCAAGAGCGACAGAACAGCGGGTAGGGCACTTGCCTTGCACATGGCCAACCCGAGTTTGATCCCTGGCATGCCATCTGGTCCCCCAGTACTTGCCAGGAGCGATCCCTGGGCAAAGAGCCAAAAATAAGCCCTGAGCATCACCAGGCGTGGCCCCACCCTCACCTGAAAAAACAAAACCAAAAACCTAATAATAAAGCACAGTCAGCATGATGGCAAACGAACATGACCAGCTTTAGAAAGAAGTCCTCCCAAAGGGAGAAGGGTCTTTGGCTCTTCCTGTTGGTGGAGGTGCAATGATTTCATAAAAGCATTAACAATAATACTATTGTAACCATGTTGCCTCAATAACAACAAATAAATTTAATTTTTAACAAACTATAGAAATGATCCCTGAAAGTATATAGTATTACAAATTTAATTTTTAATTACTGTCACTGTCCTCCCATTGTTCATCAATTTTCTTGATCGGGCACCAGTAACGTTTCCATTGTGAGATTTGTTGTTACTGTTTTTGGCATATTGAATATGTCAGGGGTAGCTTGCCAGGCTTTGCCAGGCGGGCGGAATACTCAGTAAAATCAATAAACAAAAAGAAGTCCTCCTTTAGGACAAAGGAACCGCTGCCACCTCCTAGGCCCCAGTCATGTTCAAACTGTCTTCTCTGTCACCCAGTAGGTCTGGAATGGTGCCCCGATGCACGTGGTTTATACGACGCCCTCCATCTCTGAGAACTTCCCACTCGATGAAAATCCAAATGCACAAAGTAACACAAATTAACATGGAACTGAAACTTCACCAGTTTCAAAAGAGACACCCAAGACACCCACAAGGTATAAAAACAATTTCCATTTGTTGCTGAAGAGAAAGGACGTGACTCACAGGAGCTGAGGGCCTTGGAAGGCAGCTAGGTGTTTCACCCAAGCTGAACTTCCTGGCTGGTGGAGCCCCCCAAGAAGAGGTTGACAGGAAGACAAACTGATAAGACCTAACCTGGCGATGTGAACCCAATAAAATAACTCCCAAGTAATGTAACCTGCATAGAGAACTTAAAACCTGAACCAAGAGAATGGTCTACTGGAAAGAACTGAAAGTGCTCTGGGAATTCTCCATCACTTTCTGTTGTTAATCCCCTCCCCCAGCTAAGCCAGTAACTCAGTAAATTGCTTTTACCAGATTACTCAGATTCGCTGCCACATTATCCCACCAAGACCTCAGGCGAGGGGGCGGAAAAAAAAAGACCTGCTCCCTAGTCTCACATCCAACCTTATTCCTAGGGGGTACTCTAAAAATGTATGCTGCAAAAATATAGCACATAGTCCCTGACTTAGAAGTAGGCTAAGAAAGTACAGGTGACGTCAAAGAGAAGGTTAAGGCCAGCTCGCGCACAGGTCTCGACACACATCAGCCCAGCTGCGGCAGGGATGCAGGGGCAGTGCTTTAGTTTTGTTCCATTTTAGCATCTCCAAGAAGTTAAGAGTAGTGGCAGAGGCAGTGTGAGGGGGACAGCGACACTGATGAAGGAAACGCAGAGCTCACTCACAGCTGGGAGTCAACTAGAGGCATGGCACCCGGAAAGCAATCCATAGCCTGAAAAGAAGGAACTGCATGTTTGGGGGGGACATCTAGTGACAGGGTTGTGGGGAGAAGACTGGGGCCCCTTCTGCGCTCTGTGTCTGAGCAGCCGCTTCCCCAAGACAGAAAAGACCAAAGCTAGACACACAGTGCCTCAATAACAACTAAATTTAATTTTTAACAAACTATAGAAATGATCCCTGAAAGTATAGTCTTATAAATTTAAGCCCGGCAAGCTACCGAGAATATGTTGCCCGCACGGCAAAAGCCTGGCAAGCTCCCGTGGCGTATTGGATATTGGTGTATTGGATATGCCAAAAACAAGTCTACTCAGGAGTAATCCCTGAGCATCACCAGGTGTGACCCAAAAAAGCAAAAAAAAAAAAGTGAGCCTGATGGGCGGGAAAGATAGAACTGAGGGTGGGGATTTTGCCAGGTTCCACCCCTGGCCCGGCATATGGTCCCTGAGCCCTGCCAGGAGTGATCCCTGGGAGTCGAGTCAGGAGTAAGGCCTGAGCACCACCGGATGTGGCCCCCAAACAAAAACTAACAAAGAAACAAAAAATAAAT